ATATATATGTATATGTAGAGATTTATATTTTTGACAGATGCTTTTCATTGTTGGACAGGAGATTATGTCAGTAATCCTCTTCATTCAGGCAGACAGAGAAGGATTGACTTAATTTWGGCAGTGAGGCTGAGAAGAACCGGGTCGTCCAACAGAACTATGTGAGGAGTGTAATTACAAAGTTATACAACAATCACATTATAMAGAGAAAAATGCTGAGTTATTTTTAATTATAAAGAGATCAGTGACATATTTACAACCTTGACTTTAAATTGTTTTGCTATTAAAATCATTATATGTGTAAAATTACATAAATTAACTATAATATAGGATTAGGAGCAGTTTATTTTGTTAAGCCGCACCAGTCAAAAGTGTCACTAAATAACACCCCATTAACATAAGTAACTAAAATTTTGCATTTTATGTTAAAATAATAAATTACAATAAATTATAACAAATATGTTCACATCTAACAACATCCTGCATTTCAATTTATCTTGAAAACAGATACATAAAAGACAACTGTTATTTGTTAGAACTTTATTGTTCACGTTTGTAGACTTTATAACAAAGGAAATCCAGGTCTTGTCCTACTTTTTCACCTTCATCACTAAACATCAAACATGTAAAATTGAGCCAATTATTATGCCGAATAAAACAAACAAAAAACAGGTGAGGAGTTTCATAGGATGATAGTTAAACTAATGCACAGGACACTTTATCATGAATAACAGATCTTTATGACCACTTTTTAAAGCGTCTAAACTAAATACATGCTGTCAGGAATAAATGAATGTGCTTCATTTAATGCAGTCTGTGTACAAAAATAGTGATTGCTTCTGCAGAAAACAAAACATCCACATTTTATTTGAATGTGTTTAAGTTTCAACAGGAAGCAGTTAATGGTCATTTGTTGGAAATCTTAGGATTGTTTAAGTGTAGATATGGATGTTTTTTTTACATGAGCACTTTCTTTAATGTTACACACTACAATACACGTGTGCAGGGAACACATGTTATGAAAAAGCAAGCAGGAGAATATATTTCATTATTTATTCTGGGGTATAAATCATCTGTKTTCAGGAAACTGTCAGGAGTCGCCGTCCTAACAGAATGACAGAAACTGGGGGAATGAAGGATCGGTCTGAGAGACGTTTTATTTTGAAGGCTCGTACTGAATCAGATGAAGAGCTTCTTCGTTTTCCAGCAGCACTTGGATGAACTCTCCCTCAGCGACTCGATCTGAATTGAAAAAGAAAACAAACATATTTTTACATAATGAGGTGATGCAAAAGACRGTTCCTAAAAAGATGAGGAAAGATGACATCATGTAAACTTTAAACCCCTCAAGTTAATGTAAACTAATTATCCATCTGGGATTTTATGAACTCTTTGCCATCTCACCATTCTCGCCCTTCTGAAAGATTTTCCAAAGTTTATCTGTTCTCTTCTCAGGTGTGTTTTCATCCTCRGGTAAATCTCCCACTTCATCTTTTGGAATCAGCTTAAAAATTGCCTTTAAGAAAGGGAAGAACAAAAGATTTGGTCAACAGGTGAGATTTTTTAGGTTTTACACTCATTTTATGTCAGTTAAATTCAAACATAAACTACCTTCTCTGGTAAAAAGGTGGAAACTTCCTGTCGTTTTACTGTAATCCTGTAAAATCTCCCTCTGCCATGAGTGACTGGAGCCATTGCATTCTAAATTTGATGATTTTATAAACCRATCTTCCAGCTCTTGACAAAAACAGCAAATTGTTGCTGGGATCACAAAGATTAATCTGTCTGATTTTCGGGAACCTCTAGCTCTGCTCCGTGATTATATTGCTGTWATCTTTTAAATTAAAATGTGGTTACTATAAATGTGGCTGCTTGGAAATGACAGCTTTTTCTACCTGGTTAAAGAAAAGCTTTTTTAATTTTGTTGCCAACTAGAACAAATAGCAAGAAGTGTCAGTTCTTGCTAATAACCTTTTAGGAATTCAATTAATCATTTACAGTGTTTTATATATTTTTGCATGGGTCTAAACAGATTTTGACCAAAGGGTTTAAAAGTATTTTGTACCATATCCCTTTGTATTCTTTRATATCGTACCACATCGTATCGTAATATATCGTATCGCATCATTTCGTATCGTATCGCATCGCATCACATTGTATCGCATCGTATCGTATCGTATCACATTATATTGCATTGTACCATATTGTTTTGTAATCTATTGTAATTTAGCGTAATGTATCACAATGTATTGTGAAAGTAACTATACATTTTTAAAATACATTTTACAGTTTTCAACAAAATCATCAACTTTCTAAAGGTAGTATCTCACTGTGCTGCAACCAGGCTATTGGTGACCAGTTGGAGACACAAAATTACAGGAAAATTAAGATTTACTTGGAATTACACTGAATGATAAAATTGCACAAACTCATTGTGAAAACTTTTGGCTGAAATTTTGCCGCAAGTTTGTACAAATGCGTTTGTCTAGATGATTCCAAAATACATTTTAGGCATTTTCTTGCAGTTTGCATTTTGCTTTCACCCTTATTTGCCCCACTGTAGGCCACTGAGCCGGGCACTTAACCCTCCAGCTGCTCCCCAGGCCGACTTTAGATGGCAGCCCTCTGCTCTAATTGAAACATGCAGAGAATTAATGTCTTTATTGGGGATTAATAAAGTAAAAATTGTTTGTGTTATATTATTTGTATTTGTATTATAATTACTTGTATTAATCTAAATCTCCTAAATGGTGCTTTTGGAATATTTAGGAATTGCTTTATAATATTTGAAAATCCATGTCTCCCAAGCAATAAAACTWAATCTGCTGACAATTTGTGACATAACATTAACAGACATTTAGATGACCAAAAAATGTATTGTTTTACTGCTACAGGCTTTCCCTTAGACGTCTGCCTTGTCTCGCTCCAAAGCTCTCTGCAGCCTCCGTCCTCAGCTTAAACTGTTTATCAGAGTAAATGAAAGCCTAATCCTTAAAATATGTTACCTAACAAGGATAAAGCTGTGACTTGTCAACCTCAAATAAATTTAGCAACAACCTTGTCATAGAACTGAACAAAAAGCAAAAAGTTATTAAGTTTAAAATCAGTCATGTCACATCTAAAAATAATTTTCCTGTTTAAATTTAGATTGAGAAGCCCATGCCTGATACTCGTTAGTTAACAATCTGTTGTTTGCATGGTGGTGCCTCACAGCATGAAGGTTATAGGCCTACCTCCTGGATGCCTTTTGGTGTTTAGCCTAGGTTGCTCAAAAATATTATTAACAGTTAATTATCAAGTCAGACTCCACTAAAATAAATCACTGGAGAACTTTGCTGTTAAACCCTGCCATAAACGCCTCACTGCTTCAATGTTGTGGAATAGTCATTATATTTATGTATAATCACCAGGTCTGGAACTKTAGTATAACTACAAAATTATTGCTCGTTTTTTAAAATAACATGGTTTCATTGTTTCTGTTTCCAATAAACCTGCAATAATAAATAAGAAATAGTCAGCAGCCTGCACTGATTTGTCTGAAAAAAATATTTACAATTMTTTCAACATATGTTGAGGTTATACTAGAATGTGTCCTTTTACTCTATAATGAAAACCCCCAAATAGAAATGACAACTCCAATAAGAGGCATAATGCCTCAGAAAACCAGTTTAAGTGCAAAGTGTAGTTCAGAATTTTGCAAGGCTRAGTAGAAAAATAACATTACTATTTGTGTTGATTTTAGACACAATAGAAAGTTAATTAGTATTTATAACTGTTACAGTGAAATCATATTATTAGGCTTACTACTAAGTAAAAAATGTTATATTTGCCGGTGTTCAGCTGATAGAACTGAAATAACATTTAATTATCCATCAAAATAGTTTGACACAAAGCCACAGTAGTAGAGTGTTTAGCACTGATGCTACACAACAAAAAGCTTGCTGGTTCAAATCTCAGCTGAGTTGCTCTGTTTTCTCTTGTGACTAYACATAGTTTGATAACAAATATTCATGTTACGTTATGTCTTTGGACATGTGTGTGTGCATGATTGATTGTCCTGTGTGTCTTTCTCTTGGCCCTGCAAAGACCAGGTAACCTGTACASAGTGTGCCCCACCACTTCCCCTTTTGAGGCACCCTGTGGCTCAGAACAGAACAAATCATATACTGTACATACAGGAGTTGGATGGGAAATTGTTAAACACAGAATGATGTAACACTGTATGCTGATAATAGTGTTATCTATATTTTAGTTGGTGTGTAGGTTTAAATGTTTTCAAAACTCACCAAGCAGATTTCTGAGACCTCTGACTTGGTGATGTATCCATTTTTGTCCACATCATACAGCGAGAAGGCCCATTCCAGCTTACTTGTGGTCTTTCCTGTTGACGTCATGTGGAGGGCAATAATGTACTCCTTGAAGTCTAGTGTGCCGTCATCATTAGTGTCAAAAGAACGGAAGACGTGTTGGGCATAAGTATTGGCATCGCTTTCAGGGAAGAACTTGCTGTAGATGTTTTGAAACTCTTCTTTGCTGATACGACCCGTTGGACACTGCTTCTTAAAGTTTTCATACCACTGGACTATCTCAGTCTCTGAGAACTTGGTATTGAGTTTCAGGTCCTCGAGGAKCTCCTTGGACACAGCTCCACTCTTGCTGTTACCCATTACTGGTAGTGTTGGTAATCTTTGAGAGCTATTTTAAGATGTGGCTTTGCGTCCCTTGGCTATTTTTGAGCCAGTTGTTACACAACTTCAGCTGAAGGATTTTCTCTATTTTGTCAACAGCAGTGAACAAAAGACTGTTTCTGAGATACGGCTGAAGGATTTTCCTTCTGATGTTGGTCCTATCCTGCAGATCAAGCTGTAGATGCAAATGCTGTGAAAAGAGCAGAAGGTGTTTGGTAAGCTCCTTAAGACAGTCAACTATGAGCAGAACCAACAACAGGTGTTAAGGAAGTTCTTCAGTCTGTAGAAACTCAAGTATAAATGTCCACTGAGACACAAATATAAAGGATGACAAATAAATATTTTCACAACTGCAAATGATCAAGAACTTTATGTACATTTTTAGCTTCATATGATATAAACTTACAGTATATATTTATTGGTGACTGTTTTTTTCATGTGATGCATTTCTGTAATTGGGTAGAGTGTGGTCTAAAGTGAGTGAGTGAAAATGGACAGTTAATTGTTTTTCTTGAAGATGTTTGAACAAAATGGACAAATAGAGGAATTTGATTGATAAATTAGTAAAATTCAAAATAATGTAGAAAACCTGAAGCTAACAGAGAATGATTATCCTCCATTAGTGCCATAATCCAGAGRAACAAACCACCTGGATTAACCTGAAGTGCAACGTGTAAAGTGCTCAGACACATGGCAATAGCAAGGAAGGCTTAAACTAAACATCACAGAATAAGATCCACAGGCTGAAGCTACAAGAAATATCTGAACGTTGATATGTATGATTATATAGAAATATTAAATTAGATTAAAGCAGTGTATATACAGTATTTAACACTTTTCAAGTAACAGATCCAGAAACTATCAACATCAATCAGACGTTGTGTCTTTTTATTCTGAATACTCCAACAAAACAAATTTCCCAGTTAAAGTTACCAAAGCCAAGTCAAATCAAAATGTTAATTATCCAGATGGAGGTTTTAGTGACATTTTTAAATGACTGAAAACAGTCATTTATTTGCATATAGAGAAAAAATGAAATGTTTTCTTGGTACACTATGGAGATAAAAACTGAAACCCAGTTTCTCAAAAAATAAAAAATATAAAAATGGACCCAGTCTCTTTGGTAAACTCTATATTTTGTAAGATGAGCAAAGTTTTACCATTCAGAACATCATGATTCTGACTGAATTTAACACGTTTTAAATTAAACATACGTCAATACAAAGAATACAAGGCATTGTCATCAAATAATACTCAAAAACAAGTTGATAACTTCACACTTATATAGGAAAAAAACTCAATAGCATCAACAAAAACACACAACCTGCGTGGCTCTGTTTCTGTCCTACCTGTGTGWTCCGCAGAGGAATGTGAGGTACACTAATGCTCCGACTGTGAACAGCAGAGGAAATCAGCCTCCACCTACTGAGATAAGTCAATTAATCCCAATCGCTCAGAGGAGGAGYCACWGCAACAATTAAATGRAACCCTGAGMTTCCAGAGCTGCTGTACCTGTTTTATTTAATGTAGATTAGTTCGATTGATTGATCACATTTATCTTCTACTTAGGGTATGCCGTGTCAAGTCAAMAAAGTCTTGTTTGTTGATTTAAAGTCAACAAATGACTCTTGACTGGAATTGAATGTCACACGGTCTCATCTTGGTCTTGTAACATGTGGTAAACGCCGGCCTCTTGAGCTGCMTGACCAGTGCCTTTGTAATGTTCTTCAGCCGTCTTCAGCCACCAGTAGCATTTTCTTTTATATCATCCACTTCCTCAATCTGCWGGGAAGRTCATTGAGTGCATWCTTGTCCTGGTACCTGCCTGAATGTCTCCATTGTTGCCTTCTTGTAGTTCAACCCCTTTAATGATCATCTTGTCATTTCCAGTATGACATTCCAATGTTCTTAAGTAAAGCTTGATATCATCAGCGTAACATCCTATTAAAGGGCCAATATTATGTGTTTCTCAGGCATATATTTAAATACTATACCATAATAAAGTATCTATGTCAMCTTTAGTTGTTATTAAAATGCTGTTTTTATGTTTAAATAGAAAATAAACTTATCTTCTCATCCCTTC